CTCAAAGCACTTCACAGAAACAGAGCTTCAAGGTCGGACCAAGCCTCAGAAATATCTAAGATTAATAAACAATGACAATTAAAAAATGTATTAAAAACCTACATTCACACATTGACACATACATGTACAACTATGGAATATACAAAACTATACAAATACACTTACACAAAAATCATAAATATTTACACACTTATTGGAACAAATTCACAAAATACACTATAAACCCCTGGTCACATATCTTATATTTCCAATGCTGCTCATGTAATCATGGTCATATGAATGTTTTAAGACTGAATACAGAACTGGAAAAATATATTTATTTTTCAAAAACTAAATTGTATAATTCAGAGGAACCTAAGACAACTTTGAATTCAGTAATAACTGTCTTTTTTAGCTCTGACTCAGCAACACATCTCAAAAAGAGGAAACTGTTTTTTATCATACTCACATTTTACTAAGAACCAACTCTCTGATGACGTCCAACCATGTGCTGAATCTCTCCGTTTACATTTATAAAAGCCTTCATCTGACTTTGACACTGCAGAGATGGTCAGCTCCCTTCTGGTGTCGTTCTGGATGAGTTTGTCATTTTTATAGAAATCCACTTTATAAACGGTTTGTGTCTTTAACTTGCAGCTAAGAGTGACAGGAAGTCCCTCAGCCACAGGACGGACAGGGCTCACCAGGATCATTTCACAATCTGAAAAAAAATCCAAGAATATAAAGGCTTTGTCAGAGAAAACAGCTTTTGCAGATTTAATGTGTTTCGGCACAACTGGTCTAGTCTGGCAGAAGCTGAAATGTCAGTTAGATGTATGAGGAAAAAAGACACATAGAATATTATCTTTGATCTTTCAGAGGAGTAACCCTGGAGTTCACTTCGCAAATCAGCCTTTTTTATAAAGTTTTACTCATTTTGAAGGGACATTTGGATAATGATCGTCAACTTTACATATCAAAACAACATAATACTTCAGAAAAAAGATTATAAATAATTAAAACTCACTTAGTGACTCCATAGTGATGTTGACTGCATTACTGAACTGTCCTGTTTCGGACTCACACCAGAACACTCCACTAACCCGTCTTCTGGTCATTTTGCATGTGGATCCAGTCATTGTCCCCCAGGAAGAACAGGGATAAAGGTTGTCAGGTTTACAAAACCCCATCACTCTCCACTCAGGGGAGTTTCCCTCACAGCTCAGTGACACAGACGTTTCGGTGAAGTGCTGCACACTGTCAGGACTCACTGTGAGAGACGCTGCTGAGTTGAAATCTGAAACACACAAAGAGGGGACATTTAAACCATGCAAACTGTAAAAGACAATGCATGGGTACAGCAAAACTTCCACTTAATTTACCCTGAAAAAACAAACGGGAACAAACTAAAGTAGGAGGAAAACTAAACTGAAGGAACCAGTGCCCTTAATATCACACAACTACATTTTTTTTAAATATATGTATTATTACATTAAACACAAGGGACACTGGCAGGCTGAACAAGCTTGTGAGGAAGGCTAGCTCTGTAGTTGGAGGACAACTGGACAATCTGGAGGAGGTGGCAGAGGGGAGGACGAGGAGGAAGCTAGACAGTATCCTAGAGAACCCCTCCCACCCACTCCATGCAGAGCTAGTGAAGATGAGGAGTACGTTCAGCCACAGACTCATCCCTCCACGACACAGCACCAAGCGCCTCGGACAGTCCTTTGTGCCTGTAGCTATCAGGCTGCACAACAAGGGGTCAATAATGTGAAACTATTACTAGACATAAATACACACTGTTTCCACAACCCATGTTAATATATCTAATATGTAATAGATGACTCTATATGTATATATGTTCATTTTCATTCATTTCTTACCTATAGTTTATATGACCAAATATGTATATATGCTTGTTTTAATATATATATTTTATTCATTTCTTATTTCATAGTTTCTCATTATTATTATTTTTAATTTTTATCGCTGATCTTATTTTTGATTGTATTAATCTGTGTGAAGCTGTGCTATCCTGTTTTTCACTCTCACCCTGTTGCTGTTTAAACAACTGAATTTCCCCACGGGGATTAATAAAGGTCCATCTTATCTTATCTTATGTCTGAAACAATATTACCAGCAGATAAATATCTTGAAACATATTCCCAACTAAGAAGAATTAAGAAAAATCTTACCAGTTAAGGTATCTAATTATAATGTATTGTAGAAGCCTTATATTATTAGGTTTTGGATTTACAAAGTCTAAGGGTTGAATCATGGCGAACAACAACTCATAGGTCAGGATGAAAAGAGGGTCAGGAGATTAACTCGTGTTAAAATTCAGTCCAGAAGCTGAATAAATTCATCATCATTCTGTTTTAGAGAATAGTTTTGAAAACTGAAATATGACCTGATGCTGGTGTAAAAGAAAAGTTCCCAAAATAATTTATTCCATTTTGCAATAATGGAAAAGTCAAAACAAACATGCCTACAGAGCAGACAAACTTTTATAAATGCATCTGGTGGCCTAATGATGGTACAAACTACAGAAAGAAAGAAAAAGGAAGAACATACTGACCTCCAGACCAGACAAACTTAGGTTTGCTGTACGAACTGTAATACACTGGATCTCCTCTTCCTGCTCTGCACACATATCCTGCTGTGTGTGTTTGTCCATCAATGATGAAGAGATCCTGTTCAGTCCCATTCTCGCTGCCAGGTAGCAGCTCATAGCTGTAGGAGTAGTCTGACTTTTGGGGAACAGCCTTATACCAGTAGAAGCTCCAGCCAGCAGAAGGATGATCAACCCTGCAGTTCAGAGTTACTGAGGCTCCAGGACTCGGCCATGATGGAGACACAGTGAGGACAGGCAGAGGTGTGTCTGTTGGAAAGTGATTTAATGATAAAGTTATGATATATAATTGGTGGGTTACATGCACTCATTGGATCCTACATATTTCTTGCATACAGTATGTAAAAAACAAATATAAGTTTGAACTGTCCTTAAATATAACAACCAAAATACTAGTTATCCGTTATTTTGTTTATAAACAGTAAAAAAAAGTCAACTGATGATAAATGACTTACTGTCAGATACTGTCAATGTGAAAACAATCCATTTGTCACAGGTAATAAAGTATAACAAGGTTTGTTGGTGAAGTATTATCTTTATGTAAATGATTTGATATAAGAAGCTGATCCCTGTCTGTCTTTCTGTTCTTATTGTAATACTCTTGATTTTGTGATAACACAAAGCACATGATTGTATACAGCATCAGTGGAGCTGTTCTCATAAATAAAAAATGCTTTTATTGAACTTGGTCATGGCGGTATTACTTTGATCACTTACCTGATACAGTTAGATAGATTTTATTGCTTCTTTTCTTTGATCCCCTGTACCGAAAAAAACATTGGTATTCACCACTGTAGCCTGAAGCTAGAGAGGGTAATTTAAAGCTCTCATGTTTTTGGTAAGAGAGAAATTCTCGACCATCCCTTTGGATTGAGTAATACCAGTCTCTGTCTTTGTCTCCTGTGATGTCACACTTGAAGGTAACAGACTCTCCAATAAAAACAGTGGTCCAGTTTGGCTCAATGGTCAGCACAGCATCTAGAAACCATCACAAGAGACATAAAGTAAAATGTGTTTTCTTTTTGTCAAAACATTTATAATACATTGAAAAAACGGAACACACAAAAAAGAGGTTGTTTGTAGAGTTACCTACAGTAGGTAGGTTTTACTTTAGTTGGTAAACAAAAATAAAGAAAATTGTATAATTACCTTGAGCTTGTACACGGTAGAGTAAATTCAGCACTGAAATAAGCATGAAACTACATCAGACATTATCAAACTGACAGAAATCAAATATATTATAACCTAAGGCATTTAAAAAGTTGTATCAATGGTAATTAAAACTGGAAAAGTACTCACAGAATAACCCCAGCGCGCAGAGCAAAGTGTGTCCCATCTTCGCATCGAACACTGACTCTCTGTCTCTCACACATACGTCCACTTTAACACTTGAAACAAATTGAGGAAGACTAACAGAGCACTGTGGGAGGAAATCTGATCTGATGTCAACATGAGCTCATTGGTATTTTAAAGATTTCCTGAGAATAACTAGTCTCTCTTTCCTTCCTGTTTTACATTGGCATGACTAATTCATGCTCATGCCATGCAGATACATTTTAACTTCACTCTCGACCAATATCCCACTTTAAAAAGGCAGAGTAAAAAGTCATTTTTGCTCAACTCATATCTTAGTAAAAATGAATGGCATTATTATACTTGTGTTTCACAGGCAGATATATTTAACGCCAACAGTTAGATGGTTCATCGAGACAACTGCAGAATGATTTAACCTCTTTTCATTCTTTACCTGAACTTTATTGCAATTGTAATTCTGATCATTTATCAAAAAACACAAGACAAATGTCAGGATTTTTTTGGGTAAAATAGCCATCCTGTAAACCTCTAATATTAGATGTTTCTACTGCTTCATCACTATAGTAATAACAAGGGCCGATGATTCAAAGTGACACATTTTTGGTCACATCTCAGCTCTTGCACCTCTAAATTCCTTCTGTCGCCTCAAAGTATGATCCCCAAAATAAGAGGGAAGATGATGAAGCAAATCAAACACCTTGTGAAAAGAAAAAAATCAAGGAGATGCACTTAAGCAAATAAAGTTTATTGATGCAAAACAAAGCTTACTTTTTTTAAAACACACCTAGATTAAAGCCATATGATGCATTTCCTTTAAATGATTTGCTATTACATTAACTGCACAAAATACTGTCTGATAAATGGAGAGCAAAGCTGCAAATAAGGTTTAATAAATAAAGGTTTCTTTTTGGTATGTTGTTTCCATTCGTCTTGTCCTTACAGAAGACATTGTTCGATCTGGAAGAAAACCAAAGAAACAAGAAATTACACTTTTAAAAAAATTAGAGTGTTTCATGACATTTTACGAAATATATAAAGTGATTGATCTGAATACTTACATGATGTTACGCTGCATTTTTACCAAGAGCTGTTCCTGGTTTGAGTTCAGAATAAACAGTTTCATCCGCTGGTGCAGGACTTGACTTCCCTATGAATTAAGAGATTATTATTATTTATTGTTTACAGTATTCCCCCAGTTAACAATGAAAATGTACTGGTATACATTTTCCTCACTAGAGGGTAGAGTGATAGTTTGATAGAAGGAATTGCTCATGATGATTCATTATAAGTTATAAATGTACGTATACAGATTAATGAAATGTCACATGCCCTGATGTTTATTTCATGAATGCATAGAATTGGCAGATAATTAAATAAACAAACATTGACAAAGTTGTGTGTAGGGTTTCAACATTGCTGACTTTGGCAACACCTTGTGGTAGCTTTTAAAATGACACCCTAGCAGGCAGCATGTAACCCAACAAAAGCTTAAAGCGAGTAGTATTTCATCAGACCTGCAGCTGATGCCATCTGCACATGTGAGTAAACACAATCCTCCGGTTCATTTTTCTTCCCTGTTAGACGGATAAGGGGAAAGCATGAAAAGACAATACTTATTGCATGTTTTTGTTACAACATACATTTAAAATGCTCACCCTTCTTAGAAATGTTTTTGAGCTTGACCACAGAATATGTGACATCCCTGGATTCATCTGAAATATACAAATGATTTTATATTTAAAAGAGTGAACCTTGAATTGTCATATTCCAGTATTTATATTTACTATACTGTACCATTTGCAGGTTCTTCAGGGCCTTTGATTGTTTCATAGAGACAGGCATTATCTGAAGAGTAATCAAAATCAAACCAAATATATATTAAAATCCCTCTATATGAACTCCTACATATTTTAAAACAACTAATGAGAAATGGAAATGCTACTCGGTTAATAACGTTAACAATACATTCAAAAAGTATTAAGGATTCAGGCTGACCCTGAAGAACAGAAGCATTTTCTCTTTGGTTAGTTTTGTCCTGGTTGATCATGTGGTCTGTAGCAGGGCTCTGATTGGTCCTCTGAGATCTGGTGGGCAAAACACATGTAGTAAATTAAGTGGATTTATGAATGGAACACATTATTGTTGTCATGTTCATAATAAAAGAAAATAGAGTTTTGTACCAACCTGCTATAGCATGAATCTGTTAAAAAAAAGAAGACAATTGCTGCTATTTTATTATGCATTGCAAAGTGTTTCACTATCAAAACAGTATGTGTGATTACATTAAAGACAATCTTATATCAGAGGATAATGATCCCACCTTTTGACTTTCTGTATAAATACAGGAACAGCAGCAGGAGAATAATCAGTAAAACTCCACAAAGCAGCCCAACGATCAGCAGAATGGGAAATTGAGAGTCTTTTCCATGCCCGGACGCTGCTAATATAAGTAATTATTATTAACATTATATCCTATAACACTTTCCTGTAATAGATTAACTTTATAAAACCTTTTTTCTTACAAAAACACAGTTTAATTCAGAAGAAACTAAGCTTTCTTTGTCTCAGGCTGTAACACAGTTTACTAAAAAGGAAGGGTTTTTAAATCATACTCACATTTTACTGAGAACCAACTCTCTGGTGACGTCCAACCATCTGCTGAATCTCTCCGTTTACATTTATAAAAGCCTTCGTCTGACTTTGACACTGCAGAGATGGTCAGCTCCCTTCTGGCATCGTTCTGGATGAGTTTGTCATTTTTATAAAAATCCACATCATAAAGGGCAGTTTGTGTCTTTAACTTGCAGCTAAGAGTGACAGGAAGTCCCTCAGCTACAGGACGGACAGGACTCACCAGGATAATTTTACCATCATCTGGAAAAGAAAGATCAAAGAATATAAAGGCTTTGTCAGAGACATCAGTTCTTGCAAATGTAATATGTTTATGCACAACTGGTCTAGTCAGGCAGAAGATGTATAAGGACAATAAAACATGTAAAATATTATCTTTGATCACTTCGCAGTTCGCCTTTTTTATAAAGTTTTAACTGACTTTGAAGAGACGTTTGGCTAATGCTTGTCACCTTCACATTTTAAAACAACATAATGCTTCAGAAACAAACATTTTAAATAAATAAAACTCACACTCCATAGTGATGTTGACTGCATTACTGAACTGTCCTGTTTCAGACTCACACCAGAACACTCCACTAACCCAGCTACTGGTTATTGTGCATGTGGATCCAATCATTGTCCCCCAGGAAGAACAGCGATGAAGGTAGCCAGATTTCAAAAACCTCCTCACTCTCCACTCAGTGGAGTTTCCCTCACAGCTCAGTGACACAGAGGTTTTGGTGAAGTGCTGCACACTGTCAGGACTCACTGTGAGAGACGCTGCTGAGTTGAAATCTGAAACACACAAAGAGGGGACATTTAAAACATGCAAACTGAAAAAGACAATGCATGGGTACAGCAAAACTTCCACTTAATTTACCCTAAAAAAACAAACGGGAACAAACTAAAGTAGGAGGAAAACTAAACTGAAGGAACCAGTGCCTCAATCTCACCCTACAATTTTTTTTAATTATATGTATTGTTTATGTCTTAAAGTATTTAACCAGCAGATAAATATCTTAAAACATATTCCCAACTAAACAAATAAAGAAAACACTTACCAGTTAAAGTTTCTAATTACGATGTATTGTAGAAGCCTTTTATTATTAGGTTTTTATGTTCACAGTATGCATGCACTAAAAACACCTGCATGACAAATTCCTCGTATGTGTTAACCTACTTGGCAATAAACCTGTTTCTGATTCTGAACTAAAGAAAGAAAAGAACATACTGACCTCCAGACCAGAGAAACTCAGGACTGCTATACCAACTGTAAAACACTCTATCTCCTCTTCCTGCTCTGCACACATATCCTGCTGTGTGTGTTTGTCCATCAATGATGAAGAGATCCTGTTCAGTCCCATTCTCGCTGCCAGGTAGCAGCTCATAGCTGTAGGAGTCGTATGACTTTTGAGGAACAGCCTTATACCAGTAGAAGCTCCAGCCAGCAGAAGGATGATCAACCCTGCAGTTCAGAGTTACTGAGGCTCCAGGACTCGGCCATGATGGAGACACAGTGAGAACAGGCTTAGGTCTTTCTGTTGGAAAGGGATTTAATGATAATGTTATGATGTATAATTGGTGGGTTACATGCACTCCTTGGATCCTACATATATTCTGCATACAGTATGTAAAAAACAAATTTAAGTGTGAGTTGTACTTAAATATAATTACCAAAATACTAGTTATATGTTATTTTTTTTATATACAGTAAAAAAAGTCAACCAATAATAAATGACTTACTGACAGATACTGTCAATGTGAAAACAATCCATTTGTCACAGGTAATAAAGTATAACAAGATTTGTATTTATGTAAATACTTTGATGTAAGAAGCTGATCCCTGTCTTCTAATTCTTATTTTAATATTCATAATTTTGTGATAACACAAAGCACAGGATTGTACTTCACCTGCCTATACAGCATCAGTGGAGCTGTTCAAAAGTTAAAACATTAAAATAATTTACAGATTATATATTAGTACTTGTCCAAACTGGGTTTTCATATCAACATGGCTAATTAATGAAAATAAATAGCTTTTATTGAACATGGTCATGGTGGTATTACTTTGATCACTTACTTGATACATTTAGATAGATTTCATTGCTTTTTTTTGTTGAGTCCCCGTGCTGAAATAAGCAATAGTATTTACCGCTGTAGCCTGTAGTTAGAGGGGGTAACTTATAGCTCTCATGTTTGTGGTACCAGATAATTCCTTGACCATCCTTGTACATTGTGTAAGACCAGTCGCTGTCTTTGTCTCCTGTAATGTCACACTTGAAGGTAACAGACTCTCCAGAAAAAAAAGTGGCCCAGTTTGGCTCAATGGTCAGCACAGCATCTAGAAACCATCACAAGATACATAAAGTGAAATGTGTTTTATTTTTGTCGAAACATTTATAATAAATTGACAAAACAGAACTCACAAAAAAGAGGATGTTGTTTGAAGAGTTAAATAGTAGATTTTCGATTTACTTATATATTAGTAAACAAGAAAGAAAATTGTATAATCACCTTGAGCTTGTCCACGGAAAAGTAAATTCAGCACTGAAACAAGTATGAAACTACATCAGACATTATCAAACTGACAGAAATCAAACGTATCATAACATCAGGCATTTAAAAAGTTCTATTAATGGCAATTAAAACATTAAAAGTACTCACAGAAAAACCCCCGTAGAGAGAGCAAAGTGTGTCCCATCTTCACATCCAACACTGATAATCTGCTCCTCTGTTTATGAGAAATTCTTCTGCTTTTAAACTCTTTAAATAGAAAGATAGAAACTGCAGCATATGAAGAGAAATCAGGAACTACAGAGAAACAAATGCAATGTAATATTGGAAAAGGACGTTTTTGTTTTAACTTATTTTAAAAAGTACACAGTCTGCGCTTCCTTCCCTTTTACACAAAGCTCACACAACTGAACAGCTTTTAACACAGCACATTTTTGTACACCTTGGTTTAGGTATCCTCTAATGATGAAGAGAGATAAGGTATTAAAATATAATTCCTGATGTAGATAAGACCATCCTGTGGGCTGGTGCTCCTTCACAAACTGTCAGTAATTATTGATGCTTCTCTAAAGACTGCTGCATGAAGTCAAAAAGTGTTCTTTTCTGGGAAGAGACGTTATGACCACATCACACCCGTTTTGGCAGACCTTCATTGGCTTCCTGTCAGTTACAGGATCCAGTTCAAGTACTTACTTGTTGTTTTTAAATCATTGCATGGACTGGCACCACATTACCTGTCTGAGTTGTTGCACCGCCATGCTCCAGCTAGAGCATTGCGATCAGCTCAGCAAAATATGTTGGTGGTTCCTCGGTGCAGGAAAAAAACCCGAGGTGACAGGGCTTTCAGTGTTGCAGCTCCCAGACTGTGGAACAGCCTCCCAGTACATATCCGGACTGCTGAGTCTATTGAACTTTTTAAATCTCAGCTAAAAACTCACCTCTTTGCACTGGCTTTTAATACTAGTTGAACATTACATTTTTACATTTGTATGTGTTTTTTTAAATATTTTTCTAGTTATTGTGCTTTTTATCATGTTTTTAATTATTGTTTTATTATTGTACTCCCATTGTGTTATTTAATATTTATTGCCTGTACAGCACTTTGGTCAACTGAAGGTTGTTTTAAATGTGCTATATAAATAAATAAAGATTGAGATTGAGATTGATTCTTTCTAGAAAAAATTAAGCGATAAAATTGCATGCGTCATATTCACTTTATAATCCATGGGCCTTCTCACCAATATTTCACATGAAAATGTGTGTAACAGCTTTAACCAAATAGTTGAACTGCAGTGCTCGAGTGTTCTGGAGGAATTCAAGTTTAAGTTTAGAATCAACCTCACCCACAGGAAGTCTCTCATAGTCTCTTTACCAGAAGTGAATGTGAAGAGAGACAAAGTCCTGCCACTCCTCGAAATAGACTCTACCTACTTTAAGGGGGCATCATTCTATATCTATATCATTAGTAATAAATAAATCATTTGAATACAGAAAATATTGTTTGTCTAGGTGCAACATTGTATCACAAAAGTTGTACATAGATGACTTAATGCCATAATAATGATCAAAATAAATAAATACCACAACACTTGAGTAGTTAAGTTTTAAATGTGGTGGGTAGTCAAAATTGAAAGCTTCCACTTCCATGCATCAGTGCAAAGCTAAGGAAGTGAACCGTAAGCAGTCAATTGTTTAGTTATTAGTTAGGGAGTTACATTTACATGACATCAGACCCTGCTGCCAGACTTCAGAAAGACTATTTGTGTAGAGTAGGTAAAGTATCAGATAAAGTAGTTTGACACCACCTTGTGGTCATATATCGAAAGAAAGCTTC